AAGGTCCAGCAGGTGGTGGTCTCTGAGCAGGGAAGCTGTGTCTTCTGTCTCCCTCCCACTGCAGGAATTCTGGCTCCCCACTCCAGCCAGCGCCTGTCCTTCCCCAGAGGTACTTAGGGAACCAACCCAGCAGAACATGGGCCTTGAGAAAGAGCAATGGCCAATGCTCCAGCATGTCCAGCTTGCCCTGCCCACTGGCACTGACAAAACTCCGTCAGGCACAGGGCCAGGGGAGCCAGCAAGAGGAAGCCCTTGGGACCCAATGACCTTGGAGAGTGACAGTCCAGGGGGATACAGGCTGGTCACAATGTCTGCACAGTGACCAGAACACCTGTTGGATTCCCGCTAGGAGGGCAGAGGTACCCAATCAACATGAGTCCGGGGCCGCTGCAGAAAGCGGCACATGCAGTGGCATGGAGATCACCGAGTAAGCGGGGTGAGGAGTGGGATTTGGAATGCATGCCTGCATAAAGTCAGTGAGGGGAACGTTTGCATGGTTGTTGCCAGGTGATGCCAAGGTAGCTCTGACTCATAGGAACTTTAAGTTCAACAGAACGAGGCACTGCCCGCCATCCACACGATTGTTATGTTTGAACCCATTGTGACACCCTATCTCCTTGAGGGTCGTCATTTTCACTGAACTGCTCCTTTACCAAACATGTCAAGTTCCTGTTCCAAGGACTCATCTTTCCTGATAACGTGTCGACAGTACATGAAGAGAAGAAGGCTCACCATCGTTGCTTCTAAGGAGCCTTCCGGCTATATTTCTTCCAAAGCAGATTTGTTTGTTCCAAACAATAATCTCTATTGTTTGCCAAAACCATCACTCAGATGCATCAATTTCTCTCCAGTCTTCCTGTGCTGCCATCTCCACATTTGCATGCCGCCAATGAGAAGATCATGGCTTGAGTCCGGTGCCACTCAGCCCTCAAAGTGCCACCTTTGCTCTTGAACACTTTCAAGAGGTCTCGGGCGGCAGAGTGCCTCTTGCATGAGCATCGATTGTGGATCCAAGTAAGATGAAACCCTTGGGCACTTCAGTGAATCATAAAAAGATCACGCCAAAAACCAAACAACCCACAGGTGCTGTTGAGTTGATTCTGACTTGGAGCCCCGGAGGACGAGAGCGCCTGTGTCTGAGGCTGTACTCTTGATGGAAGCAGACCGCCACACCTTGCCCTGGTGTGGCTGGTGTGCTCAGAGCACCAAACCATTTACCCATTGTTCTACCTGGGCTTCTTCTAGAGAGAATATAGGGGGGGACTTTTAAAAAAGTTTTTACTTTTATACCATCACCACAATGTCATCATGGTTAGCAAAATAATTTTTCTCTTCTCTTTTTCCTCCCAGATGTGGGTTTGTGTGACTTTATGGGCAGTACACATGCAATTTTGTGTCCTGGTTTTTCACTTGCCATTTTAATCCAACGCTTCCACCTCCAAGGCCCAAGTACTTTCCCACGCACTCACCCAAGGTGCTAACCTAAAAGGCTGGTCACCGAGTTTCTCTGCATCCAGATGACAGTTGACAACCCCAGGAACCCCGTTCTCTATAGAGCCCAGCTAGCCAGTACCTACCCAGCAGTGAGGAGGAGAGAAGCCTTCAGTGCTGGCTATTAATAATTAGTTATATCCATGTAACATGCTAGGCTGCATTAAGAGATTCCTTCCTTTCTCTTGTTTCATTGAGGTAGAGAGTTGGTGAGGGGAACCAGCCCAGTAGCACTGGGTTGGGGGATCCTTCACCCAGATAGCTGCAGTCTGGGCAGACTCCCTTACCCTTGGCCCAGCAGGCGTGGTCCCAGAATGCTTTCTCTCCATTCCCTCTGAAGAGTCAGTACTCATGCCAGCATGCAAGACAGTATCATTCCTAATCCCTAATCTCTCATTTCAGGAGAGACTCGACGGACTCCAAGTCTCCTGCCGCCTCCTCTCCAAAAAGACCATCGGTGGAAAGGTAAAGGACGCCATAGATTTCTCCCTCCCAAAGGCTTTTTCAGTATGTGCCCATTCTGCTTTCATCGAGGAAGCGCTCCATTCATGATGTTGCCTCCAAATTCTTGGACCCACATCTTAAGACCAGTGGGCCCTTGAGTTAGAAGGGTGGCTCCTTCTCGCAGGTAGCTGACCTAGGGGGAGAAGTGTGGCTTCATCATTGTCTGGAGAACTTTCTGAAGGTCGAGCAGAGTCCAGTGGGAACAGAGGTCAGGAGAGCTGGTGCCTGGAGCGAGAGCAGCTAAAGCAGTTGGTGGATTGGTTTGAGCTAAACTGGTCAGCAGGGGTCATATTGGTATAAAATTGTTAAATTACACAGCCATGAAATGGTTATTGAGGGCCAGCTATGTGCCACGGGCTGTTGTAGGTGCCAGGGACATGGCAGTGAATAAAAAAAACAAAACCCCCGCATCTGTGGGGCCAGCATTTGGGGCCGGGGGGTTGGGGGGTGGAGGTGGAGGGCGCCACCCAATAGGAGACACAGTCCATGCAAAAGCTTTCAGAAAGTTTGGGAAAATTTCATGATCTTTTTAAATTTTTTATTTATTAACATTTTATTAGGGGCTCATACAACTGTTATCCCAATCCATACACACATCAATTGTGTAAAGCACATTTGTACATCGTTTCTCAAAACATTTTCTCTCCACTTAAACCCCCCACATTAGGTCCTCATTTTTCCCCTCCCTCCCCGCTACCCCTCCCGCATGAGCCCTTGATAGTTTATAAATGGGTATTTTGTCATATCTTGCCCTGTCCGACGTCTCCCTTCACCCACTTTTCGGTTGTCTGTCCCCCAGGGAGGAGGTCACACACGGTTCCATGTAATTGGTTCCCTCTTTCCTACCCATTCTCCCTTTACCCTCCCTGTTTTGCCACTCACACCACTGGTCCTATAGGGCTCATCCGTCCTGGATTCCCTGAAATTTCATGATCTTTTCATCTCATTTTCCTGTGAACGTTTTGAAGCCCCCTCATATACTTGCCTTCAAGTTGACATGTTGATGACAATTCATAATGACCCTACAGGATAGAGTTACAGCTGCACCATGGGGTTCCCAAGGCTGTGAACTTTTTAAAAAAAGTTTTATTGGCACGTAATTCACATCACACCATTCAATAGTTCAGTCATATCAAGAAGAGTTGTACAATCATTACCACAATCAATTTTAGAACATTTCCCCATCCCCCCACCCATTGGTTAAATCACCTTTAAAATGAGTTGTGTAATCACCATCAGTTCTAGAGTGCTCCCTCCCCCTCCCACATACTCTGTTTGCTCCCCCAACCCCCTGACCCTCCCTATCTCCCACCCCCACCCCTACCCCCACCCCCCATAACCCTTTGCATCAGTTCTTATCTCTATGCCCCTACTCCTTCTGTGCTTTGCAAACTGGAAAACCCAACAGAAACAATTTTTTTAAAGTGGTAAGGATAAAATATTAATAGAAATAAAAATCCAAATAGTGAGTGAGAAAGAAAAACACCATTGTGAATATTAAGGCCAGGGAAGAAATTTTTGTCATGGAACAAGGAAGAAATACTTACACCTAGAACAATTTCAGGTTGGGTCAAGAGGAAGGTCAACTGACCAAGTATCAAGTTCGATCCAGTAAAATCACGATTCAGTGATCTCAACCTGGTAGTAAAACTGTTTGAGACCCTTGCCTGTGGCTAGTGGGGGTCTGCCAGTGGCTTAATCAGGCTAGATACTCTGCAGATGGGTTTGGGGCTCCCACCATCATTTATAGCCGCCTACAAATTGGGTGTTCACAATTTAGGCTCTGATACTTTTCCCTTTGTCATATTTGCATTTTGCCATTGTCATCTTTGGATCACACAAGCTGGGGTGCTTCTTCCGTGTGGGCTTAGTTGACTCCTCGCTTAGATGGCTGCTTGTTTGAATACAAGCCTTGAAGACCCCAGACACTATTCTGATTGATAGCCGGGCACCATCTGCTTTCTTCACCACACTTTGCTGTAGCACCCTTATCTTCAGTGATCCTTTCGTGAAGGTGAGTATTGAGCAGGGCCATGTGATCAGAACTACCTGTTCTTGGATTGGGGCTAGAGTTCAGTGGGGGCCCATAATCCATCTGCTTGTCCCTGGGATACGCATGGCTCAGGTTTATGTTGGTGGTCGTATCATGACAAATTCAAAACTCCATAAGACCAGCTACCACAATAATAGCAACAAGCCAAGGAGCAGAAAACAAGAGACAAACATACAAACGAACAAAAAACATGCATACTTAATGCAGAGAAACAAAAAAACCCATCAAAACAGAAAAGTAAGTCATTGTCAATCATCCCCCCCGGGCATAGGACGGTTGCACCCGTAACATCATCCATGTTTCCAATGACCCAGCACGCTGGACACTGACACTGGGAGGAATCTGTGCAAATGCAGCTCCACCAGGAGCCGCACCCCTGAGGGTTGCCCCCCACAGTCCCATCTCCCCTTCCATTGAGCTCCGTTTACCGTAAGCATGGGGGTTAGTGCTGGGGGAAACTTCCTGAATCAGTTCTTCCAAGTTCAACCCCTGCCCAACACATCAAAACCTGTCGTGTCACTGCAAGGTGGCGCCTCAAGGTACTAGCTATATGGAGATTCTCAGTCCCTTTCCATTGGACACCCACCAAACGGGGCGAGGGAGATTTCCACAGATCCAATGACCGCCACTTCCATAGGTCTCGCAGCCACTCTCTGCTTCCTCTGCTAACCAAGTAGCCCAGACCGCAGTCCAAGGGTTCAGGCACCTTTGAGGCATGGGTCAGGTCTAGGATAAGTCCTTCCAGTGTAGCCCCTGGGCTGTGCCATGCTGCCCCTCAGGTCAGGCTGTAGATCTTTATACATGCAGACTGCCACCGCTCTCTCTGGTAGGGCAGCTGGTGGGTTTGAACCTCTAACCTTTAGGTTATCAGCCAAGTGTTTAACCATTATGCCACCAAACCAAGACCCATTGTCATTGAGTTCCTTAATACAATAGTAGGTGAGGCAGTGACACAGTGGTTTAGGAGGTGGCAAATGCCAAGGAAGAGAAGAGAGCAGGGTGAGGAGGACTGGGGGAAGGCATCACAGCTCACTGGGCTAATCAGAGAAGACTTCATTGAGGAGGTGACCTTGAGTGACAACTTGGAAGAAGGGAGGGAGTTTGCTTGCTGGGAGGACCTGGAGGTAGGAACATGCTGGCAAACTTCAGAAACACCTAGGCTACTTGCCGGTAAAACTGTTGGGGGGGAAACCTCAAACTAAGCTTGAAATGACAGATAGAAAAAACAGCTGGGCAACCTGTGTGGCCGAGGAGATTAAGTGATGGGAGAGAGGAGAAGAGGAGGACCGAGGGGTCGTAGAGGCCAGACCCAGCAGCACCTGATCGACTGTTACTCCGGGTGAAATGGGGCGCGGCTGAAGACGCTGAGCACAGGACCTCTGTAACCACATTTCTCAAGATCCCTGTGACTGCGGGGCTGAGGGTGGGCTGTAGGTGGCAGGGGCGCAGCAAGGAGGAGACCAGCCAGGAGTCTGTTTGCATAGGTCAAACAAACTCTCCCGGCAGCCCTCTGGTCAGGGTGGTCTCAGTGGCCATGGGGAGATATTTTTGAAGGTAGAGCTCACAGGAGTCTGAGAGAAAAGAGGAGTCAGGGACGACTCCAAGATTTTTCCGTGAGTGTCTGCAAGGGTGGAGTTGCCATGAATTGGTTTGGGGCAGACTGTACATAAGTCAGCTCTGGGACAGAAGAAAGAGCGTTTAGGTTTGGATGTGCTGGGGGGCGCAGGACTGGGCACCGCTTCACGCTATTCTGCAGAGGGTCGCTGCAGAGAGTCAGAACCGACTGGGTGGCACCTAACAACAGCAACCTGTTGGATTCAAGTGCGTAGTCACCGAGGTGCAGAAGCCAAATACTGGCTTCCATGAGGCTGGAATTCCGGAAGCCTGTATGGACTCGATCAGTCATTACGGAATGGTGGGATCAAGGAGGGAGGGAGCTGTTGTCCAGGAGGGAGGTGAGAGGTGGAGCCGGAGAAACAAAGCCAGGAGAGAACTGGGCAGGCCCAGACGTGGAGTGGTGGTGAACTGAGGCCAGAGATTCAGCGGGGGAGTGCCCTATTGGATGCTGGGGTGGTCTGACTAAGGGTATTAGCCTCTAAGCAGCTGTAAACAGAAAATGACATGCGTACTTGCATCTGACCTCCCCCTGGCTCACACGGCTATTGTGATAACCACCTGGGTCCTCTTGTGGAGTTGGAGTGGGAGAGAGTCAGCAAGGGAGAGAGGGGCTCAGACATGGTCCTTTGACCTGGTCCACAGAGGCTAGAGTGAAGACAGAGAGGAAGGGCGGACCAGTCTGAAGAGTGGACAGTTGTGTGGATCCCGAGCCTCTGCGGCTGATGCGAGAGAAGGGGCAAGCAGCTCTGAAGGGCAGGGGTCAGTGGGGGGAGTCCTACCTCCAGACTCCCCTCCTGACGTTTCCTTCATGGGCCAGACTCCTCCTGGCTCCTTCCCATAGTGCACTCTTTCAGAAGTTCTGTTGAGCAGAATATGTTTGTCTCTCGGTCAGTTGTGCCGTTTCCTGCTCCGTCAGTACTGGGGCTGGGCAGCCAAAAGGGACAGTCTCCATCTTTTGAAGGTACTTTACCCAGTGCCCAGACCATTCATTCCCCGCTCTCTATCTCTTGGTTCTCACTCATTCTCACTCTCTCACTCATTCATTCAGCCACTCCGTATGCCGAGCCCTTTCTTGCATCCCCCCAGGGTCAAGGGCATGTGCACTTACTGGCTGGCTAATGGAGACCAAAGCAAACTACTATGGTGAGTGTGCCCTGCCTGAAGGGGGCAATCACTACCCAGCTGATGGTTGTTTAGAGAAATGCAGTTCCCATGTGCCAGGCCTAACAGTTTTTCTTTCTTTTATATGTACAGTGAACCCTCGTTTATCGCGGTTAATCGGTTCTAGACC